ACACACGGACACCTACTTTTTGACCCTTGATGTTACAATAACTCGCGAAAAACTCAATATTATGAGCTCAAATTTTTACTGAGAACTATCAATGATCAGATACATATTCAATAAAAATTTCAGTAAGATTGAGTGTTGTGGGAAAAAAAATTTCAGAGGGGAGGGGGGCCCTTAAAGAAACATGGCAATACTGAGTCAAACACATCATTAAAAACGAAACAAAATTCTGCATCTTTTAACCCTAGAATGGAAGTTTCAAACTATTTGCAAGTAGCAAAAAATTTGGGATACAGAAGTGATTCACTATATTGAAATCCTTTCGTACTTATTTCAAAACATTTTCGAATGGTATTCGACTTCGTAAATGGAAATATGTTAACATTTTTTTATTAATGATGGAAAATTGAGAAGACTTACACATAAAATGATTTAATTATAATAAATAATTATAATAATAATTTAAAAATTTAATTTAACATACGAAACTTAAGATCAACGAAAAAATATTTCTTAAAACGTTTTTGGACTCAAATCGTCCAATTAATTCAACACCTTGCTAAGTAGAAATTTCTGAAACAGAAGACCGTATGGTACATTCCATGTATATTTTTTTTTTGTCTTCTAGCAAGTATCAGCTTATAACATTGTAAAAAGAATTATCATCATCACCGTACAGACGTGCGCGATTACAATTACAAAATGTAAAGTTCAAACATTGCTATTACCTGTAGAATTAAGAATTTTAGAATTCTGAACTTTACTTGTTCAGAATTCTAAAATTCTTAATTCTAGGGGTGAGTGTGGGTGTGAGGGTGAGCGTGAGCGTGAATATGCAACTTACATGTATGTAAAGTTCAGAATTCTAGAATTCTTAATTCTACAGATAATGGCAATGTATGAACTTTACATTTTGTAATTGTAATCGCGCAGCCTTCTCACCGTATTTAAAGATCTACTGTAAATACTTCAGTTTGTAGCCGCACAAAACAAGCGTTCGAAAACATACGAAAAAGCTAGACATAGAAATACTAGTGTTAGCTAAATAAGCAACAAATAGTAAGAAGATTTTTTTTATGATTATAAAATGATTTGCTCAAATAATATAATAAAATAAAGCAAAAGGATTTTGACTGCATCTACTTCTTCTTTTTTTTATGTAATAATAATAATAATAATGATAATAATAAGTCCAGTGTTTTTAATAGCCAATTAGGAAGTGTGCAAAAGCACTACATATACGAACAAATATATACCAAACAGACTTAAGCATACTTACTCTTACCTTGAAGTCCCAAAATTTCATAATAAAGACCGTATGTCATTAATGGTTCACTTAGTTCACGTAAAAATGTTTTTAAAACACAAGCGGCTAAATGCACATCACCGTATTGTTCATATGTCACTGTTTGCCCTTGAAAAAGTATAAAACAAAAATAATAAATCAATATTTGGAGATAATAATTATACCTTCATTATATTTTTCTTGAACTAATTTTATTTGTGATATTATTGCCGAACGTCGAAATATTCCCGGTTCATTTAAACCTGCCAATTAAACAAAAAAAAAACCACTTATACATCAACTTTTTACTATAAAACAACGTTTAATTGTACCATATTTTTTAATATATTCAACTGTTTGACGTATGACAAGCGGTATCGTTTCACTTTTCTCATTATTTAATATACTAAACGAAAACAAACACATTATTTCAAACAATTTGAAAATGTAATGAGAATAATTCGATATCTAGCACTTCTCATGTCCATTCCCGATAGTCATATTAAGAATACATACTGTTCAAGTGAAATATTAAACTTTTGTGTTGATCGAATTGAACTTGATGGAATTTCACGTGGAATAAATGGGTCAAAACTACAAAATAAAAAAAATAATATTATATCATTCTACTAAAATCAATTTCTACTATACTTTTTCACTTCAACTGGTATTGTAATTTGATCCAAACGAACATGATCAGCTAACTGTCCCAATTTGTTTATATAATATACTTTACGTGAAAATTTAGCACTAAAAAGATTACTAACAATGTGAATAACATATAGAGAGTATTTCAAAACATACCTAATAAATGATCGAAAAAATGGCCAAAGAAATTTAATCCATTTTGCTAGAACATAAATACAATATAAAATATATATTTTACTATCTATGGTAAACTAATGAAATTATTACTTGGATGAACAATGTAAAATGCTTTTAGATTCTTTTTATATCTTAATAAGAAACATTAAACATTCAATAATCAATTATTATTACACATTCTAACATGATCTTACTTTCGATCTATTTTAAGATAAGCACGTAAAAGCCATGCGTAAGATGGACGATTGAAACTGCGTAAACCATGATGAAAATAGATTAAAACATAGTCCATATCTACGTACTGATCAAATGTACGTAAAATATATCTAAAAATAATACACATTCATGTTATTGTTATTCATTATTTTTTTTTTGATCTTACTTCAATAAACAATCATAAAATTTATCAGCTGTTTTAAATTCACTACTTTTAATTACATCTTCAGCTGGTAGTCGACAAGCTGAACAAATAATTATTTTTCGACCAAACTGAAACCGAAGATCAAATACTATTTACAAACTTTATTATCTATTATTTGAATTAAACATACTTTGTCATCACCAAAACATTGAACAATATCGAATGAAGCAATCTTTTGCATTAATTTATAATCGGGATCTTCAGTATCATGGATTTCCTTCAACAAAAAAAAATACATAAATATTTATAACATATGATGAATATTTAACGTAATTTACCGGTGATACATGACCACTTAACTCAGATTCAAAATCATCATCAATAATTCCATCCGATGTTATATTTTCTTTCCTTAGTGTACGATTTTTTCCTCCTGCAACATTAGCACTATCACTAATTGTTGCACCATTATAAGAAGCATCTAGATACAAACAAATAGAACATTATTTATTCATTTTTATTTCGTTGATATACCTATAAAATGTTAGTAATAGAAAAGAAGAAGAAACAGAAGCAAGCAAGCAAGCAATGTGTTATTACCGCCTTCACCAATACCAGTACAGCCATCAAACTCATCAACAATATCGTCAAGATCTACTGTCTCGTTGCCATCTATATAGTTCAAAAGATAAATGTATAAAAATCCATAAAACAAAAAAGTCATTTATCCCCCATGCGTAGAAAAGAATACAGAAGCGTTAGTCGATGATGCAAAGCATTATGATATGAGAAATAAAAACTTTTTCAAAGTAAATTTCTAAGTCTTAAATTCTTTGGTTTCTAATATCAAAATTTACAGATTTGAATTTCATAGTGTTGGTTAGTTGTAGACTCATCAAGAACCTTTCCTTTCCCCCATCTTACCATAATCAATTTCAAAATCATCAATTTCTTTAAAGAAGAGAAAAGAATCTTATTGTTCTCAATAATTATGAGGATAAGCCGACAGTGAATGTATACCTTTGTCCGCAATGAGCCCAATATCATGATCGTCAAATTCCATTTGCGGTTCATCAATAATCGCCCGCGGATTGTTCCAATATGGATGTTCATCTATTAAAGAATAAAAAAATTAAAATTATAACTACAAGATTAATAATTTGAAAACTAAATATCTGTGAAGTTTGGTTTTGTTCAGACAAAATAAAAAAGCCTGTATATATGTAAACTCTCATCCTTTCTACAAAAAAAAAAAAAGTATTCAATTTTTGACCGAAACTTGATTCTTTCGTCAATCACTCAGTGTACCACCTAAAAAATTAATTTCTACAGCAGAAAAGCGTACCACCTCACGTTTGTTTGAGGCATTGCGCCTCAAGCGTTCTACAGGATAGACGCCTCTGCGAGAAAGCACATCGTATCGATAAAGAAAAACAAAATCGAAGCGTCATTAACTGTTTTAATTCTTGTGAAAACTGATATAGTTTGTTAAGTAACAGAAATGTATTGCTTAAAAAGATCGAGTTACAGTTTGTAAAAATGTTACTCATCACGATTTAATTATTTTACGCATGTTACTTGATCATCTACCAGATGATTTGAAAAGAATATGCTCATAAAAAGTGGTGAAAAAAAGTAGAAAATTTGTAAACTAAATCATCTGAATTTTTACAACGTTATTCTAAACCATATGATACTCTTGTTGCTGATCAGTTTTCATCAACTTCTTCACCAGATAAGCTTGCATCATTCAAAAAATTCACAAGTTTCATCTAGTCTTGATAACGTTAATTTTGAAAATACATTAATGTCATCTACCGGATTCTTCATGATCAACGATCATTCACTTTTTAGTCAATCAAGTGGAACAAAATTTATTTTCCTTCCCTATGACTGGTGATATTGTTTTCTTTTTATTTCTACGTTTAAGAAATTCTTCTCATTCTTAAGTCATGAATACTTGGAGTGAGGTTAATACATCTACGTATCGTACGATACACAGTATTTTACACCTTTTCGTTGTAACCACGGTCTTTATATCCTTTTTTCCGCTGCTTAAAATGTGCTATCAAACATCTAACTTTGACAATGCATCTAAGGACCAGCGCGTATAAACTAGATTATAGGCGTCCAAAATGTTTGACATGTCGAAATTGTAACAGAATTTCTGCGAATTTAGAAATTTCATAGAAATTTCGACAAATGTAGAAATCCCAATGGAATTTATGAAATTTTAGAAATTATTTTGGAATTTCGACAGCGTTGGCGAAGTTCCGAAAATTTTTGGAATTTTGACAACACCGTCGAAATTCCAACACCGTCAAAAGTGATAACATGGCTTAATTAATTTAAAAAGCCAATTCATGTCATTAACTTCTATTTTCTTTCTTTATCATTCATTTTCGGTATTAACCCCCTCCCCCTCTCTATATCATATCATCTGTTCATTTTAGTTCTATTACTATTTTTTTCTCAACACTATTCTTTTGTTATTTATTCTATATCTTTCTTTTTCATCGCGTATAAATATTCTATTTCTCCATCATTTCATTAAAGTAGAAAATTTTGTCGAAATTCCACTACGTCCTTCGATAATAATATATACCTCAAAATTTTGAACAATCAACCCTTCGCATTTAGATACAGACTAAACAACAGCGGCATGAAAAGAAAAGATAGCACAGCAATCTAAATAATGTGTAAATCATATTACCCGCTGGTAACAAATTCATTGGTATGGAATTATTCGATACTGTTTCAGCTGCGATAGCATTATTATTATTATTTTGTTTATCATCATTATGAATCATAGATTCAGACACATTTTCCGCAATATTTATACTGTTTAAATCTTTTTTTATTGATGAAGGTAAAAGATTATCTGTAATATTTTAGTTCGACACAAAACCATCGTTGACTGACATTTGTATAGAAAATAAATAGAGTAAATAAATGTATCTGTAAAAAAAAGTAATAATAAAATTAATTTAGTGAATTCATTAACGTAGTTTATCGGATATTGTTTTCTAAAATTATTAGAAGAATCAAAAGTAGAAGTGCATTGAAACATCGGATCGAAGAACATGTATTAATGAAACTCATTAATCCAAGACTCATCTTCTAGAAAAAGATGATCTATTTTGTCTTCATACCATAATGTTCAATTTTCCTGTAAATAGTTTTGCTCATAAGCAAAGAGAAAGTATCTAGCATCTTGGTTATCTTTTTTATTTAAAAAAATAAATATAGAAATCGTTTCAGACACATAAAACAAATACTTCTGCTTTTTTCACAACATATGCACATACGTGCAAATGAATACAAACAATAAATAAAAAGAATAATACTAAGAATAATTTACTTGAACATTTAAAAACAAGTGTAAAAATAATAAAATATACATCACAAAATATGCAACAATGCTCAAGAAGAAATTTTCTTTATAAAGATAATAAGCGTTGATGCACTCTTTTTGTTTGTTGAACAGTTTATTTTGGTTTTTTACAGATGATTCATTTATCGAAAGGCACTTTAGAGTAAGCAATCATGCCTAGAGAAAATGTTAAGAGTATGAGAGGTGCACAAGGTCAGTATCTTGGCTTGTTAATAACAATTTCTCGCGATAATCACAACATCAAAAAAAAGCCGTATATTATAACAAGATATTCGATAATAAGAACAAATTGAATGATAATTAGCTTGTTAATAGAGCTAAAACAAAAAAAAAAAATGAATAAAATTGAATACATCAAAAAATAGGAAATATTTCCAATATACCTCTTTTTCTTGGACTTGGTCTTGCACACATTTCGCAAACGTCATCGCGTACATCAGCAGATGATTTATTAATAAATGTACAACTGTCACACGTCCAAAGATGATCTAAATTTGAAAATTTGATTATAATTCGTTTGCATACTTAAATAGAACGGTTCTTTAACCACATACGGCTATTTTTACGTATCTAACGCGCGTCACCTAAGTAATCCCTTTTGTAACTTCTGTGACATGATAACACATAGATTTTATCGACTATCAAAACACTATATATTTTTTGCTAGTGATCACGCATCGAATTTTAGAGTGCTTTGTATCTAGCAGACAATTCTCTTCGTGTGATCATCGTAGAGAAAGGTCTTTTTACGTACTCACAACTCTATCACGGTGCTATTGCCACCGTGCGGGACTTTCTTCAAGAAACATCTGAATTTAATCGAAGTTAGATCTGCAAAAGAAGTTTGTAGATTCATTGCAAAATGTTAACAAATTTGTAGTAAAAGATTTCTGCACAGATTATTTGCAGAGTCTGATAAATTTCCGAGTAGGTTTTTATGTTTACAAAATATTTTCGTATATATATATGTTCAACAAGCAATTACATAGAGGCAGTAGCGTGCAGTAGTACTATAGAAATTTGTACAGAATCTTTCGATATTCTGTAACAATCTAGATTTTGAACAGATTCTTCTAGAGCTCTGGTACAGAATTTTTTCTACATTTTGCTTGTACATTTCTGCACAGAAATTTGCAAATTAAAAAATCTAAGTAGATCTATTAGAAAAATCTGCAGACACGTTTTACTTTTGGACGTCAATTCCTAGTAAACCTGCACCTTTTAATTCAGAGAATTTTTTAAAGACTTCCCTACAGGAAATAATTGTTATCATGGCACAGTGTTGTGATCAAGTCAATGTCTAATAATTTTTTTTCCGCATTTTTAGTTTCTACTGTTTCTTCTAGATATGAGATGCTTCTAAGTGGAGAGGCAAAAAGGTTAGAAAAATTTCTTAATTAAAATCTAGTTGCAGGGCGAGCACAACATGACGATCGTATACACAAATTCTACTTTTTTTCAAACAGTCAACCAATCTTGACTCCTTTTTATACTACACAAAACATGCTGTATGGACGATGAAGAGCTCACCTAAAACTACTCAGACTAGTATATCCAACTTCAGCGCAGATGAAGATAATGATAGAGTATTTTCAAGCATTCACACGTGTTAAAAAGTAGTGTTAAATTTAAAAAAACTCTACGATGGGTTGGACTGGCAAAAGTATCTCATGAGTACTTACCCTGTAATTCTTTTAGTTCTTTTTTAAGTAATGCATTCATGTTGAGAGCCTGTTGATATAATTCAGCACTTGTTTGAACCTTCAATGAAAATAAAAAACTGCTACAAAGTGCATGATTAAAACATCTCTATTACTTCATCATCATCATCGTCTAGACGTAAATCATCTAGTTTATTTTCAAATAAAATACGAAAGCGTATAATTTGTTCAAGAGCTTCTTGTTGTAACATAACTAAAATAAAAAATATAAAACCTGTGATTTCTCGCTTACATTCTTTTACTCTTTTGATTTACTATGCTCGTCATCGTTTAGAGACATTAAATTTTGATCATATGAATCATGCCATTGATCATCGATTTTTGATAAAGAAGAACCAGAACTGGAAGTGGAAGGTACTGTTGAAATTGCACCATCGGGTATACAAAAAATCGATCGATTTGGGAATAGATGAGTCTGTTCTGGCACGATGATTTGGGAATCACATTCAATACCCGCTGAGGTAGCTTGACCATAGTCAACATCAATCATAGTCGAATAAAATGAATATTTAAGTGATTGTGATTCAACTGAAGCGAACAAAAGTCAACGATGATTTGGAAAACGATCAAATTGTAGGTTCTCACCTGATGGTTTGATATTTACAGGATTATAACGGTTAAACAGAGGATAACTTTCCGCATTAGTTTGTTGTTGATTCTCGTGAGTTGTTGTTAATATATCAATATTACTGCTTAATTCGGTTCGCCGCGATTTAACATTATCCTGCTGAGGTGAACTTTCATAGGAATCAGAAAATGCAGTTATTGTATGTTCTAAATAATTGTCATTTCCACCAATAGGGTTGTCGATAAAAACTATATCTAAACCTTCCGAATCTACAAAATAGTATCCAACATTTTTCGGATCATCGGCACTGTTATGTTTGTGGCTAGCAAATCTTTCTTTTAGACATCTAAGCGATTTTGACACTCTTGATGAATGACCGTTTCTCGATTGATCCAAAGTACTACTGTGTAATGTCTAAAAATAACATTATATTGAATTTATTGATAAGTAAAAGCTGTAAAATTGTTGTGATGATAATAGCAGCTATTTTAAAATTCAAATTTTATTTTTATTTTATAATTTATTTATTCGACGTTTCGAAAAACATTTTTCATTATCAAGAATACTAGCAGAAAATAAAAGTATTGACGCGAAATTGAAATATGAAGAAAATAGAAGAGTTGCTTTTAATCTTATATAATACATAGATCGAAAAAGAAGACAAAAAAGATTCTAGACACAAACATAAATTTTCTTTCTTTCCAACAGATCAAGACATTTTTCCTTTAAAAAGTGAAAATAGCAAGAATGAAAAATATGAGACATGATGTTCATTATGAAAGATCTCTATCCACCGAGGTTAGAACTCAACTTTAGAGATATCATTCGGATAAATGAACAACGATATATATCATACTATACCGTTACATCTAGCAATTTTAAGTCTTAAATAATCAATCATACAGTGCGATCTATACAGAAAATTCATGTTTATGTCTAGAATCTTTTTTCTGTCATCTTTTTCGATTTATGTATTATATAAGGTTATAAGCAACTCTTCTGTTTTCTTCATATTTCAATTTCGCGTCAACACTGTTATTATCCGTTGATACTCTTGATAATGAAAAATGATTAATTGATAAAATAAACGTCAAATAAATAAATTATAAAATAAAAATATGAACTTCAAAACAGCTTCTGTTATCATCATAACAATAACACTATATTGTTTATAAAACACAAGAGAGAAACAGTTCGCTCAAGTAAAGACTTATTTACATTTTCAGACAAATGTCTATTCTGTGATGTAGCTGGAGCATAATTTTCATCGATGCTACTACGACGTCGAACAATTTCAATCATTTCTTTTTGATCAGAAGCTGAGCTAAATATTTAAATAAGAGATACAAATAATCAATCAAATATGTGACTTCCAGCATCTTCAGCAAAAATAAACTAACTCTTTCGAATTTCTTTACCGAAAATATCGAAATTTTTGAACAACACTCTTAAGGAACAGCTTTTTAATACCTACTGGAATACAAAGTCGTCCAGTTGAACGAAATTTTGTGAAACTAACCTTTTTCTCTTTTTCAGACAGTGTCTCGTCCATAAAAGTCTAGAATGGAAATAAAGAAATAAAAATGATCTTTAGTCTGCTCTAATCCTGTTTAGTAAGAAAAGATAGTTGCAAAAAATTTGACTAAGCGAGCAGACCAAGGTCTATGATGCAGAGTCAATTAAATAGTCTAACGAAGAACTAAGACAAATACATATATAGATTCTACTTGTTGAATATAATAACAATACAAAAGTACAGTAATAGACGAATGTCTTTCAGTCTGTCATCATATTTGAAATGCCGGTATTAATGAATGCAAGTGATCTTTAGTTTCTGTTATAAAAAATATAAAATTGATTATCTTGCTCTCTAGTACTGTAAGAGAGACAAAGAAAATCTTCGCTGTATCTCATTACATACAACAGAAAGCTTATAAAAGCAAAACAGTTGCATCCCATTAGCATTGTGGACGAATGCTTCCACGCGGCTCCTTCCTATGTTACATGGTCTAGTTGTCGAGAGGATCTAACCTTGTACATTATACGGAGCATCAAAGGTTAGCTATAAGCTGTGTTTATTTGTCGAATATGGTTATTTCCAGATTACACTGCTATACGCAAATTTGATCGATTCCAGAGATCAAACAATGCCAGACTGTTCTTTTACCTAAACCTTTTTTTTCACTGTCTGTACATGCCTGGTCCCTTTTTCTTATTTTCTTGTAATCTTAAGAATGATTTTGCAGAATTTTTCTGTAACTGATTTTGCGAAACTAAGACTATTTTATATCAAATAAAAGCGACTTCGACGCTTGTCTAACTGGAGTAAGCATAAGCTTGAAATGTTTCGGTAGAATAGATCGCGATTAAAAATTAAATACAATAGTAAATTTTTGAGGAAAAATATGACATGCTGCTTGTCGTTTCTAACATCCTGTTTTAGTTTATTCTATTTAGGATGTGACAAGGAAGAACAAACAGTTATAGAAGAATTCTGCAAAATCATTTTCAAGATTACAAGAAAATAAGAAAAAGGGACCAGGCATGTATAGAAAGTCAAAAAAAGGTTTAGGTAAAAGAACAGTCTGGCGTTGTTTGATCTCTGAAACCGATCAAATTTACGTATTACAATCTGGAAGTAACCATATTCGACAAATAAACACAGCTTATAGGTAACCTTTGATGCTCCGTATGATGTACAAGGTTAAATCGACAACTGGTTGATGTAACACGGGAAGGAGCTGCATGGAAGTAATCAGTCACTATAATCATAAATGTTTCCAAAATTCTTACTTAGACGATCTATGCATTGATTTCACAATCAAAATTATGTAGGAATCGAAGTTAATGTGATATAGCAGGAGTTAAGATACCATATTGTAATTATTCAACTAGTGATAGTCAAGTAGCTTTGTGTGACTGCATAAATCATGAACAGAATAAAATAAAATAAACAAACGAACCAAGAAGTAGTGGTTGGTTGAGAAACGTTACCAACCACTTAGAAAAATAAGAGTTACTAGTCATTTGTCTAACGACTTCTAAAACTGTTAATGCTAAACTAACATAATTTTGATCCATCATATCCTTTGATTTTTCTATTTTTCCTGAATGTAAGCATCCCTAGAGGTCACTCTTTTCTTTTCCTCATATGTCTAAGTGGTTTTCCGAGTTTAGAATTCTATGAGAATAAACATGATTAAAGTCTAACCGTTTCCACTTCTGGGTAGCAAAATATATACAGCTGAGCAGGGTGCCGTGTCACAAAAAATATTAATTTATTGGTTTAAGTCCTGAAGCGTGTTTTATAAAAATTCTTAAGTGCTTGACTTAGCAACTAGGAGCCCCCTCAGAAATGGTGATTTTCGTTCAAAATATCGGTTTTGAGATAAGCACATGGGAAGATAGCCTGCAGTGTCTCCTTTCAGAATCTGTATCGCTTTTGATTACAAAAGTCGTTTTTCCCGGATTTTGAGCAAGTTTTCTAGGAGCCTCGAAAAACCAAACTTCAAATAATAGCTTTTTCCTGGATACTAATGCAATTAAAATTTTTCTAAACACACAGCTTTGTAGAGCAAACGTTTCTGATCAAAATAAGACCTCGCACAACTCTGTATGACTCTGCATCAAAAAGTTACAGGCATTTTCCTAGAAGTTCTAAAATTGAGTATTTCATACAGCATTTAACCCTTTGAGTCCCATAATAGCAAAAAAGCTACACATGTTTTATAATTATTTTTCACAACTTAATTTATAGAAATTAGTACGTAATCTCTTGGAATGAAGCAATGGAGCATTAGCTAATAAATAGCAAATGCACTTATGTGGCACTGTCTGTAAAATAAACTAGGAGAAAACGATTTTATTAAATCAAATATATTTAATTTATCTAAGAATCATATAAGTCTTCATTCCCATTCTTTTCTTAAGGACCCTCCCCTCAGAAATGACGATTCTCGGATTTCGAGATAAGCACATACAATGATAGTCTGAAGTGTCTACTTTCAGAATACATATGATTTGAAACTATATTAATGGCTTTTGAGAGGGTTTTCAGAGGTTTTCTGGAGACCCCCTGTACAAAAACTTACTATTTTATTTCGAACTGATGCTATGAAAGTGATTTTTGTACAAAACGAATATACCTAATACCTAACGATGCTGAGTACAATGCATGGGTGAACAAGCTTAGAGAGTCCTCAGAAGAGTTTCCTGAAACAAGTTTTCTAGGAGATCTTTGAAAAACCAGGTCGTGTGTAAAAATTTCGAATAGGATTGTATTGCTTTTTTCTCATGGACTAATAGCCCGAGATGTCCTCTTGAAGACGGGAGTCAAACGACACCTTGATTTTCCGTGGCTTGGGCGCTGTATCGGATTTCCTACCAGTCCCAGGACTGGTACCTGGTGACTATTGGTAGCCTTGAAAACGTATGGACTATGGGTAATCAATCATGCTGAGTCTCGTGGCAATATTTGTTTTTAGAAAAAGTTCTTAGAAACTAGCAGAAAAAGAGTTTTACGAAAATTGGGGTTTTCAGGCTGTTTTCACTTAATATTTAAAAATTCACTGTTCGCTCAAAATACATCAGAACTAGTTCAGAACTTCAGGATATGGTCAATTCTGTCCGCTAAACGTGATTATAAGATTGAAAAATCGAAAAAGCATATTTTTGTTAATGGGTTTTCCAGAAAATCTTTCGAGAAAACCTTAGAGTTCTGTAAAATCTCTTTCTAGATATCCTGTGAATAGGATATAGAACAGCCTAAATACTTTACATTCTGAAGTTTTGAACTCGGTCTGATGTATTTTGAGCGAACAGTGAATTTTTAAATATTAAGTGAAAACAGCCTGAAAACCCCAATTTTCGTAAAACTCCTTTTCTGCTAGTTTCTAAGAACTTTTTCTAAAAACAAATATTGCCACGAGACTCAGCATGATTGATTACCCATAGTCCATACGTTTTCAAGGCTACCAATAGTCACCAGGTACCAGTCCT